ATTTTCATCAGACGTCTGTGAAAATTGGATTGAAAATTGGAATGATGTAAATTGATGCTATCAGTGTCTCTGATACACATAAAAAATTTAGAAAACCTCTTTACAATCACTTTAACAAGAACCACAGACGTCTGATTTAAAATTAGAATGATGTAAATTGATGCTATCAGTGTCTCTGATATACATAAAAAATTTAGAAAACCTCTTGACAATCTCTTTAACAAGAACCACAGACATCTGATTGAAAATTAGAATGGTGTAAATTGATGCTATCAGTGTCTCTGATACACATAAAAAATTTTGAAAACCTCTTTACAATCTCTTTAACTTCTCGACTTATAAATCTTCATAAAACAGCAAAAACTGAAAATAAGGTATCATTAAAAGTTGCTGTTTTTTAAAGGTCAACTTCCTTTTAATGTAACTTGCTTAAGTCCAAGATTCCCTGGAAATTATCTTACTTTCTGCAAGTAACGGCTTTCATTAGTCCCATTAGGTGCCAGAAAAGTAGGACGTAAAACTCCATTCATTTCATTTTTTTTTTCACTTGTACTATATTGGCCTTAAAGAATACATGTATTAGCAAGGCTTCATTTTGAGGTAAGATTCCGTCCTACTTTTCTGCACAGAGACTCTCGTCTAGTCGGTTACTTAGGTTCATAACGATCCTTTCTACCAGCTGATCCTTGACCAAACCTCTTGGTAATGATATTTCCCGGATTATCTGTACCCATTTACAGCTGGGTTGACTGGAACAATGAGGGCTTATCAATGGTTACCAGATTTCCAAACACCAACCAAGATAGGAACCCAAAACCACTACTGTATTTCTTCGAATGACGTCTTATAACCATTCAAACACATCTAACCTACTACGAATTAATCAAACGAATGACGTCATATTAGGATTTAAACACCCTAACTGACTGTACTACAACCCGCCCTCAAAAACCAATTATTTTAAATTTTTCAGAGTACACCTATGAACGGAGCAAGCCAGTCAACCGGAAGTTCACAATCTGACAAGCGCAGAAAGAAAGTCACCAAGATGGTGGCCATTGTTGTTATTCTCTTCGCCACTTTCTGGTTCCCAATTCATGCTTTTAATCTGTGCTTCGTAGTTTGGGAGGATTTCCCTCTGACCAAGGTAACCATGAGGATTAAGATGTTCGCTCTAACTTTATCCTACGCGAGTTCGTGTGTGAATCCATTCGTTTACGCTTTCATGGGCGACGGTTTCAGACGAGCTTTTCACAGAACCTTTCCTCAAGTGTCTCGAAACGGACGTATAACGCCAGGGCTTCAAAGTGAGGCGGGACAATCCGCTACCATGGAAACTCGTCTGCTTCACGAAAGCCGTCATCACCAATCCGCCAAGCGGAAGACAAACATCAGCCGAGTTGAAGGTATAGAGGAAGAACGCGAGACTCGAAACGAGGCGGAAACGGAAACATAATTATGTGTTTTTAAAGGAGATAATTCGGGCAATCCGATGATTATGGGTTATTATTGTTTATGATTAAAGATTCTCTCACACCATAACGATTATCAGTTGCGTATAATGAAAGTGGTCATGATAACCGAACGTAGCGCACAACTCAGTTGCATGAGAGTTGCGTTCGAAACGTATGACGGGTATTCTTCTACGCAACTGGTGATATATATAATAATATATCTGAAGAGACAAGTAATACATCTGGAGGGGCAAGTGATATATCTGGAGGGACAAGTGATATATCTGGAGGGACAAGTAATATATCTGAAGAGACAAGTAATACATCTGGAGGGGCAAGTGATATACCTGGAGGGGCAAGTGATATACCTGGAGGGGCAAGTAATATATCTGGAGGGACAAGTAATATATTTTTTCAGATGTATCTGCGGGCCTATGGAGTTCAGAAATTTGGAGACTAAAATATCGTGCGATCGTTATTACACCGTTCTGTATTCAAAACGATTTTAAGGAACCGACCAGGAAGTGCTTGTATAAAACGTTGAAATGGTACGAGAGTAATATCTATTCCAGCGACGTCATCTGTGCCCCTATACAATGTTCAAAGCGATATTATCTAACATGTGCTTGTATTTTGCTTTGTGTATAGGCTTATTTATCTGTGTCGTAAACAAAGTTGTAGTTAAGCGAGCTGTAGCCATCACCAATATTGTTTAGAACCCTGGTGAAAGTATGATAATATATCATTATGATTTTCAATGGCTTGTTTGAAATGTGACACGTGACATAACTGTGACAAATCAAAACGATCCTTTCTTTTCAGTGCATACAATATTTACGAGTGCCGTGCGTGTGTCCATTTTTACAATACAAACCGCCTACAAAAACGTATTGATTAGCTGGATTAAAAATCACGGGACGTCATGAATATTTATTACCTCGCCCTGAATACGAGGTTTATATTCTAAAGTGAAACACGGTAAAATTACCTTATAGTCTGAGACGTGTTACAGAGATGATGCATATTGCCTGCTACAGTGAAACACAGTAGATCTATGAAACGGTAATTCCTGACATTTGAGCGTGTGTGTTTCTTTTTTTCTGGTCTGTTTTGAGACGCACAATATAAAGTGGTAGAATTAGTAAAGACGTTTTTAACTGATATTCGGCTTCCTGTTACAGAAATGTACTTATTGTATTAAATGATGTTTTTTTGTGTATATAAATAGTAACTATTATCAATATTATAAATTATAGCTTCCATTCTCATCATAGCAAGTCTTAAAGAGATTGTAAATAAGTTTACTTTATTGGTTCAGGGACACTGATAACAGATGAAGTTAGTAATATCTTGATATTGTGAAGATGAAGTTAGTAATAGCTTGACATTGTGAAGATGAAGTTAGTAATATCTTGATATTGTGAAGATGAAGTTAGTAATAGCTTGACATTGTGAAGATGAAGTTAGTAATAGCTTGACATTGTGAAGATGAAGTTTGTAATAGCTTGATATTGTGAAGATGAAGTTTGTAATAGCTTGACATTGTGAAGATGAAGTTTGTAATAGCTTGACATTGTGAAGATGAAGTTTGTAATAGCTTGACATTGTGAAGATGAAGTTTGTAATAGCTTGACATTTTGAAGATCTGATGTTAAATGATTTGAAGACAAATCTATTCAGGTAACGATTAAGATCAAACAATCCCAAAACGAATATCACCACATCAGAAACGTATGATACACGTCCGGCCATTTGAAATTGGTCGAAGATCGCAGACACTAATTGGTCGAGGTGATTGGCTTATTATACTTTGACTCTTATCAAAATAGCCGGCTCGACTTTGAAGATTCTCTCTCGTCCGGAAGCCGACATATTTATCCCGAGGCCTTTGTCTTAGATACTTTTAATCCAGATGAAGTTTTCTTCTCTGTCGCGTGTCATTCTGACCACAGAAAACTGTCATTGTTCGAAGTAAAATTCTCTGTGTTTTTGATCGTCCATTTTGGACATTCTGACCACAGAAACCTGCCATTGTACTAAGTAAAGTTCTCTGTGGCTTTGATCGACCATGTTGGACATTCTGACAACAGAAACCTGCCATTGTTCCAAGTAAAGTTCTCTGTGGCTTTGATCGACCATGTTGGACATTCTGACCACAGAAACCTGCCATTGTTCCAAGTAAAGTTCTCTGTGGCTTTGATCGACCATGTTGGACATTCTGACCACAGAAACCTGCCATTGTACTAAGTAAAGTTCTCTGTGGCTTTGATCGTCCATGTTGGACATTCTGACAATAGAAACCTGCCATTGTACTAAGTAAAGTTCTCTGTGGCTTTGATCGACCATGTTGGACATTCTGACCACCGAAACCTGCCATTGTTCCAAGTAAAGTTCTCTGTGGCTTTGATCGTCCATTTTGGACATTCTGACCATAGAAACCTGCCATTGTAGTAAGAATAGTTCTCTACGGCTACCATCATCCATGTTGGACATTCTGACAACAGAAACCTGCCATAGTACTAAGTATAGTTCTCTACGGTTACCATCATCCATGTTGGACATTCTGACAACAGAAGACTGCCATTATGCCCTGTCTCAGAAACGGGAATATTTTAGCTAAGCTAATCAGTAATAGTGTTCACAGTTCACTGTCCAAATTTGAGCCTTCAAATCCATGTGTGTCCAGAATTATCCGCATTTGAATGTTAAGTGACGACTCATCTTTTCTTGACACTATATTTGAAGTACTTCAGAAGACTATTTACATATGTTCAAGGCCCAAAATCAACCCGCGAATCTATTCTCTTGAAGTACCAGAAATATTCTTGGTATTAGGTTTTATCCCGACAAACAGACTGAAGAAGCCGAACATCGCCGCCA